ATTTCAATACCTGGTATCCCGAATGGATACCATAATAAAAATCTAATTTCGACCCCTGTGTATGTATGTATAAGTTCTCACCCCATCGTGCACCATAGCCTTCCAAGTGTGCTCCAGCTTCTTGGTCAGCTTGTAGCGTTGCAGGATGTCTATGATACCGAGGAACAGCAGCATCCGATCTCCCTTCGCGTTCTTACACGGGATGCCGCCGGACCTACGACCGACATGGAGCAATTAGTCGTCGTTACTAATTAGTCTAATTAGTTTAATTAGAAAGCCATGATGCGCCGTTGAAACATGATTACGACCACCTAAAGGCGCCAGAGAAAGGACGTAGAGGTCCAGTGAGATGTTTCTCAGTTACAGCTCTGCATGTGGAACAGGGAAGCCCTGTAGGGTTTCACAGTTGCACTACCCCTCCTGCCCTCCCTCCTCCTGCTCTTCCCCCAGCTTACGGTGACTCTTCCTCCCCTCTTACCCTCCCCTCCTCCCTCCCTCCCTCCTCCTCTCTCCACCTCCTCCTCTCCCCCAGCTTACGGTGACTCCTCCTCTTCATCCTCCGGCTCGGGATCCATCGTGTCCTGGTCCACGTGTATGGCCTCCCACCTCCCCTCCTCCCCTCCTCCCTAGGAGGAGGGAGGAGGAGGGAGGAGGGAGGGAGGAGGAGGGAGGAGGAGGAGGGAGGAGGAGGGAGGGAGGTGGAGGTGGGAGGCCATACACGTGGACCAGGACACGATGGATACCGAGCCGGAGGACGAGGAGGAGGAGTCACCGTAAGCTGGGGGAAGAGGAGGAGGGGGAGGGAGAGGAAGGGAAGGAGGGGGGGTGGGGTGATATCAGGATAGAAACGAGGTGAGGAGGAGTGAGTGAAAAGTTCTAAATTATTTATTATTCATATATAATATTATTTTGGAAACTTTTAAAATCCTTGAATCAACAAGATTTCGACAGCAACTGGCACTCATACTGCTGTATCGCAGCACTAACGCCCCTCGTTTTTTTCTGTTTTCTTCCAGGTTTTAGAAAGTTTTAAGATCATGGATTATAGTATGTTAGTTGGATTTTACAACATAGACCAAGCTGCGAGAGAGAAGGTAAGTGTTAGACATGTCTATAATGCTCTCTCCCTCTTCACCTCTCCTTCCTCTCTCTCCCTCCTCCCTCTCCCTCCTCTCTCTCCCTCCTCTCTCCCTCCTCCCTCTTCACCCCTCCTTCCTCTCCCTCCTCTCTACCTCCTCACTCATCTCTCTCTCTGTCTCTGTGCAGCGGCAGCGACACGACAGGCTTCCCGACGTTCACACACAGCTCTCCACCAGCTCAGAGACAGAGGCAGGCGGCGGGGGCGGGGGCGGGGCGCGGTCGGATCTCATGCGCAACAAGTCAATGCGGCGTGAACGGCTGGCCGCTTACTCGACCGCGCTCGAGGCCATACACGTGGACCAGGACACGATGGATCCCGAGCCCGAGGACGAGGAGGAGGAGTCACCGTAAGCTGGGGAGAGGTACATTTTATATTTATATATAATTTATATATATATTAATTTATATATATATATATTAATTTTTAATTATTATTTATTATTAATTATTTTATTTATTATTATTATTAATTTATAATATATATATATATTAATTTAGTAATATATATTTTATTATTTATTTATTTTATATTTGTGACTTCCCCATACACTAGTAGTGTCGCTGCTTTCGCAGTACGACAATCCAACAGTTCCCTCCCTCTCGCTCTCACTTCCCCTCACCCTGCAGTCTCTCTACCCTCTCCATTTTCTCTATCTACTTGTTGATAATAACGATAATAATAATAATAACAATAATAATAAATAATAATAATATTAGCTAGCAATAGTTGTGACATCCCCTCCTTTTCGCCCTCTCTCCCGCACCTCCCCCTCTCTCCCACGTCCCTCCTCCCCACCCTCTCCCGTGTCCCCTCTCTCACCCGGCAGTCTCTCTGTATCGTCTTCACGAGGGCGTCGTAAGTGTCCCGCTCCAGCCAGATCCCGTCCGGATGGTCCTCCGCGAAGTCAAGGTCCTTCAAGGTTGGGCACACCTTCTCCCGTTCCCGCTTGGAAGCCTGCAGGGGGGGAGGTTTTTAGTGACGCATTTCTGACACGAGATCGACTGTAGTTTCATCTCGGTTTTTAGTGACGCGTTTCTGACACGAGATCGACTGTAGTTTCATCTCGGTTTTTAGTGACGCATTTCTGACACGAGATCGACTGTAGTTTCATCTCGGTTTTTAGTGACGCGTTTCTGACACGAGATCGACTGTAGTTTCATCTCGGTTTTTAGTGATGCGTTTCTGACACGAGATCGACTGTAGTTTCATCTCGGTTTTTAGTGACGCATTTCTGACACGAGATCGACTGTCGTTTCATCTCGGTTTTTAGCAACGTATTTTTTTACGACGATCTCTGGACAGTTTATTCAGTTTTCTTAGTTCAGAATCAGTGGTGTATACACGACACACGACCTTACGTTGGTTTCCTTGGACCTCCTTCTCTTGCAGAGAGAGAGGGAGATGGAGGGATGGGCAGAGAGGAAGGGCAGGGAGAGAGAGAGAGGATGTGGTAAGGATCACGCCGGGTGTCCAGCTAACCTGAAAGTGGGAGGGAAGTAGGAACAGAGGAACAGGAAGAGAGAAAGAGAGAAAGAGAGAGTAGGGGAACAGAGAGCATACTGCATACCCTGTGTTTGTAGGTGCTGCCATTCAGGTCGTATTTCCGAGAGAGAGAGAGAGAGAGAGAGAGAGAGAGAGAGAGAGAGAGAGAGGAGGAGAGAGAGAGAGAGAGAGAGAGAGAGAGAGAGAGAGGAGAGAGAGAGAAAGAGGAGTAAGGGGAAGCGTACTGGCGGTAGCCTGGCGTTTGTAGGTGGCTGCCTTCAAGTCGTAAACTTCTGGTGCTCATTGATGTAGATGGGCAGCAGGTTTGTTCATTTGATAAGCATGCGGATGTTCTTGCCCCGCACTGGTAGCAGAAGCAGCCCGTACGTCTTCGGCATGCAGCGTCGCGCGCATTCTGGTTCAGGTTCTGTCGCCGAGAGAAAGCACAGAGATTCCACTAGACGACGTTCGCACGGAGGGTGGATGATATACTGACTCACTGAGAATACTACTGACTCCTGAGAATAGTTAAAGTACTGACTCACTGAGTATACTACTGACTCAGCTGAGAATACTACTGAGTCGCTGAGAATATCTACTTGAACCAGCTGAGGAATACTACTGACTCACTGAGAATACTACTATGATGCGCTGAGCATACTACTGACTGGCTGAGAATACACTGACTGCTGAGAATATACTGATTCACTGAGAATAACTACGACTCACTGAGATACTACTGACTTCGGCTTGAGATACTCATGACTCAGCTGAGAATACTATGACTGTCACTGAGAATACTACTGACTCACTTGAGAAATAATATGACTCACTGAGAAATACTACCTCGACTCACTGAGAATACTACTGACTCACTGAGAATACTACTGACTCACTGAGAATCTACTGACTCACGTGAGATACTACGCGGACTGCCTGAGAATACTATGACCGAGACTGACTGCACTGAGAATACACTGACTCGGCTGAGAATTACTATCGACGTCACTGAGAATACTACTTGACTCACTGAGGGATGACTACTGACGATCTGATCACTGGAATATACGACTACTGAGAATACTACTCGACAGACTGACGTCACTGAGATACTACTGACTCACTGAGATGACTACTGACTCACTGAGATTACTACTGATCAGCTGAGATACTACGATCGCTGAACATACTACTGAATCACTGAGAATACTACGGACTCACTGAGAAATACTACTGACTACACTGAGAATTACTGACAATGAGAGATACTTACTGACTCACTGAGAATGACTACTAGACTCAGCTGAGATACTAAGCAGAATTTACTAGAGAATCCACGCGAGGACATTAACTCAGGAAATCGAGGTGATCAACACAGACACGGGGGTGTTAACAATCTGAGGAGAATGTTGCATATGGTCGTGCTAGTAAACGCGGACTTTATAATCCTACACGTTACCATGTACTATATGTACGTTGCATTGTAGTATACTATGTGTTCCAATGTAGTTTATATACGTTACCATATTAGTATCATCTACTTACCATGTCGTATATATAACGTTGGCATGTATATTATATATAGTTTACGATGTAGTATTATATGTGTTACGGATGTAGTATCTATGTGTTCCTGTATATATATATTGTTTACCGATGTAGTATATTAAGTTTAGCGATGTAAGTTCTATAGTTGACCATGTAGTATATATATGTTACTCTGTAGATATATATATGTTACATGTAGTAACTATAGTTTACCAATGTAGTATAGTATATGTTACATGTAGTATATATATGTTAGCCGATGTAAGTATTAATGTTTACTATGTAGTGTATATATGTTAATGTAGGTATATTACTAGTATCTATAGTTTACCATGTGAGTAGCAAGTGCATTAGGCTCTGTAAAGAACTTGCTTCCTTGTGCTGTAGTATATATATGTACGATGATAGTATTCTACTAGTATGCATATAGTTTACGCATGGTAGTAGGCGCAGGCGTAGCTCCTGTAGGAACTCTGCTTCTTTGTGCTGTATGATAGTATAAATGTACCATGTAGTATTACTACTAGTATCTATAGTTTAGCCAATGTGTAGCCAGGCAGTAGTCTGTGAGGAACTCTGCTTTTGTGCTGGTGTTATATATTGTTTACCATGTATATATATAATGTTACATGTAGTATAGTACTACTAGTATCTATAGTTTTACTTCATGTAGCTAGCCAGGCATGTACTCTGTAGGAACTCTGGCTTCCTTTGTGCTAGTAGTATACTATGGTGTTACCGATTGTAGTATAATATATGTTACAATGTATATACATTACTAGTATTATAGTTTTACGCATGTAGTAGGCAGGCCGTAGCTCCTGTATGAACTCTGGTTCTTGTGCTGTAGTATTATGTGTTAAGCATGTAAGTATAGTATATGTTAGCCATGTAGTATACTACTAGTGATCGTATAGTTTACCATGTAGTAGCCCGGCAGATAGCTCGCTGTAGGAACTGCTGGCTTTCCTTGTGCTGTAGTATATATATTGTTACAATGTGAGTATATATGTGTTACATGGTGTAGTAGTAGTATATGTTACATGTATGATAATAAGTATGTTACCATGGTAGTATTCTACTAGGTGTGATAGTTTACCGATGTAGTAGCGAGCAAGTAGCTCGGCTGTAGGAAGATGCTGCTTCTTGTGTGTATGGTAGTATATGTTTTACGCATGAAGTATCTATAATGTTTTACCATGTAGTATATTATTATGTTTACCATGTGTATGCTATAGTTTTACATGTAGTAGCGCAGGCAGTAGCTCTGTAGGAACCTGCTTCGCTTGTTTGTTGGCACCGTGCTTGGATGATGAACTATCGTCGGCTGAATATGTAGAAGAAGCTGCCGTAGGCCGGGGTTTCGACAGCTGCCCGCAAAAGCCCTGGCGTTACAGCCAGAGACAGTCTGCAGAATGAAAACAC